AAAAAAAAAAAAAGATGAGCAGGCTTGGTATTCGCTGAGATGAAAAGAACCCTATGCTATATTAGTAGATACGAGCACAATATAAAAGAAAATGTATAGAACATGTAGAATGTATAGAATAATCATAAGTAGGGTGGGGGGCTATGCTCGTGTGCATGTGCATAATAAAAAGAATACAGAGCAAACAATAACGAGAGCAGGACTGGTGATTATTGTTGTTTTCATGGACGATTGTCTGTACTGTTTGTACTTTTGTTAGCATCTTATTTTTCCAACCAGAAAAAAGAATACGGCGTACAATGTTTTTTAAGCGAGGTAGCCTCGATCAAAGCATGCAGAAAACAAAACAGTCACCCCACACTGATCACCTGGGTCAAGCTAGAGCAGGCCAGCGAGTCCCAAACAAGGATAAAGGCTGGTGGAAGGTGAGCTCGCTGCAGGGCAGAGCATGTATGTACAGGAACATTGAAGACAAGCCCACATCAGAGCCCAGAGCTCTGAGGGCGCGGAGGCCAGATGGAGAACAGAGTCCCAGGAAGGAAACTGAGATGAGCGTCCAAGGGCCCTCAGCCAAGAGGAAGGGAGAGCAGGAAAGGAGTCCAGACAGGGAGTCCAGTGCAGATGGATGGATCTGCACCAGTGATGCGGAACTTGGGCTGCAACCAAAGGTTGCTGCTTTCCGTCCTCGGTAAGACGAGGGGCACTGGTGGGAAGGCAGAGGAAGCCAGAGTGAGCCTGCCTGTCTGGTCGCTGTTGGTGTTGGCAGAAAAGGCTGGGACTGCTTCCCAACTGGCTTTCATTTTGCAATTCTAAGTCACAGATAATTAGACACGTTTGAGTGTGTCTTGAGGAATCTTCCAGAACATGATGGCTTTGTTGTGGTCCCCTTACAGAGTACCTGTATTTTCAGGAACTTGTCCAAGCTTTTCTCTATTTACCCAGCTGCCTCAGTTTTCACTGGGTGCTCTGGGCAGGTTTCTAAGCTAAGCGTGGAGTTGGTTGGTGGAAGTGGGTAACAAAGGTGGTTCACGCACAATTTCCAGGCCCAGGGAGTTCGCAGCCTCATGGTAGAATGAAGAGAATGAGACAGTCACACATGCAGGGTACAGTGTGATAGCAAATTAGTTCAAGGTCAGCTTTTGTGTGGGCAGGTCCATCATGCCTACTCCTCTGCCTGATGCGTGGTAGATAGGAATAATATTCGTATTATCGAAGTGCCATAAAAGAAATATAAGTACAATGTAAATGAAAGGTCTTTTCCCACGAATGAAAACATAAGAAGGATCGTCCCTCACAGAATTATGGTGAAGGCTATAACTAATCTTTTCCTTCAAATTACTGAAACATACAGAGAATAACCATTGTTAAACTCTACTCGTAGTTGAAATAGAAATGGAAACAGCTGCTCTTCCAAAAACTTGACATGGTTGCTTGTTTGGGGATGCACGAGACTGTGCAGTAAATGTTCCCCCGAAGAATGCTCAGCGGGCTTTGGTATTGCCCCATGTACCCACAAACAGGAATCTGACGAGTTTTTGGTCTCAGAGCATTTCTGGTCTACAGAGTTGCCTGTTTCTTGCTTACTATGAAATCTTTCCATAGCGTATTTTGAAAACTCCGTAGGAAGTAACACCATATTTCTGCCCAACTTCACTCCCAGTAGGGAAGGGAGCTCAACTCCTTTGTAAGAGTCTTAGAGTTGTGGGGGGTGGGGGGAGGGTCTAGGCCGGTGGTATCGAGATACCTAACACACAGGATACACCAGGATCTGTGGCCCAAGGGAAATAAAATGATCTGTGCCTGATAAATAGACTTTCACCCCATGAGGACAGTGTACAGGTCTTCAACCTGTACGTTCAAGGATGAGTTGGTAGCAGCCTATCCACCCGTAGCCCACCAACACGGGGCATCTCTAGCCCTGCATCTGTCAGCAGGGCTGAGCTTGGCCTTAAGCTAAGGCCTCAGCTTGGCCTTAGCATGGATTTGGTCGTTCTCTCAGTCAATAAATAAGACCTCACTGAGTATCTTTTATGTGGTCAGGATGGTATTCATCTGTATAAGGGCCGTCTGTGCCAAACAGAGGGTGCCATCAGGTTGACTCTGCCTCTGCCAGGAGATGGCCCGTGGTGGAACTGCCTCAGCTGTGGAGTCTTGCTCCTCAGTCCTGCTCTGTGCTTCCCTTCCAGAAAGTTCCACAGCTAACAAAGATTCCGGCCAAGAGTCAGAGTCCATTCCAGAGTATACGGCGGAGGAGGAGCGGGAAGACAACCGGCTGTGGAGGACCGTGGTGATCGGAGAACAGGAGCAGCGGATTGACATGAAGGTCATCGAGCCCTACAGGAGAGTCATCTCTCACGGAGGTAGTCCAGCTCTTTGCGACTCTGGGAGGTGGCGAGGAGGGCAGCCGTAGTTCTTTACTAGAAAAATGAAAGTAGGGTTCTCTGAGGCATGGCATCCTCAAAACCCTGTTCTGCAGTCGATGTTCAGGGGAGTGCAGAGCCAAGTGCATTACCTCATACGCAACTCAATAAACAGTGGGAAGCCTACTATGCAAAAAATAGCTTTCCAGTGTGAAAACTGCTTTTCACACCGCATATCTGACAGCGGTAATCTTCTGTGCAAATTTCTTGAAAACTGCAGCTGTCCGATTAAGTAACGTCTGTTTGGAATTCATATGGGTCAGTTGTAGGGTTTTGGTTTTTTTTTTTTTTTTTAACAGAGTTCACCTACAATGTTGCATTAGTTTCAAGGGCACCACGTAGTGATTCGACAATTATATACCTTATGAAATGCTCAACCAACTGCCAGTTATAAGATAAGTAGGTCATGGAACAGGAAGTACCGCATAGGGAAGATAGTCAATCGCATTGTAATAATTTTGTATGGTGACAGGTGGCGACCACACTTCTCATGGTTGTAGGGCTCACCTGAATAGCTTTCGCGTCTGTGCTGCTGCGACCTGTAGTAAGGTTGCTACCCCAGAGGTCATTCTAGAAACGAAATGGTCTTTTGAATCCTCGGAGAAGCTTTAGGAATAAGTCTCTTGAGGCTCAGCCTGGTCGGTTCTCCCCCTGCTTGAAGTTTGCTTTTCTGCGGACTCCATTTGCATCTGTGCCTGATGACAGGTGTTTCCAGTGAGAGCCTCCACCTGCTTTAGGGACGGACCAGGGAGAGAGAAAAGCTGTGTGTTTGGTCTTTCCAGTGCTTTCTGGGAGCTCCGGGAGGCTCGCTTGATTTTGGATTCACAGTCAGATGAGCACAAGCACCACAGTGAATGTTGTCAACCTCAGGAAACATAAACGGCTTTTTTTAAGTTTTCTGCTGCATGCGCTTGTTTCCTGCAGTCCTGAGGCCCCACCCTAAGCGCTCAGCTCTTCCAAAAAAGTGTCAGCTGACGAGGCCATTGTTCTCTCTTCCGGGGACAGGGAAATAGCGTCTTAGCGCTGCATTAAACCTGTAGCTTTTGTTTTCTACCAAGCAGAAGGACATTTTGTCTTTTCACACTTCCTTCCGCCAGCCAGATTATCCATCTTCCATTCAGGCACTGCTACCTTCGTGTAAGTATCAGGATCCCCCAGGGACTCCGACCTCGACAGCCAAAGAAAATGCCCATAGGCGCCCCTGGCCACGGCCTTGCTTTGCCCTGCCTCCCTGTCTGACCTGCGGTGGTCATGTGGCTCAGGGACAGGTGCTGTGGGGGCGGGAGGCAGTTTGCTCCAAGGGAAACGTTTGCAGAGCCCTGCAGAACGAGAGCTGGCCCGATCTCGCTGAAGGGAACAGCCAGCCGGCCAATAGAATCAACAACCCCTTTGTTCCACAACCCGAACGTCATCCCAGATCTTCCCCGAAACTCCTACCTCCTCAGTACCACCCATCAGGTATTTGGGGTTTGTTTGCTTTTTGGAAATAAAAAGAAAACCACACAAAGCTTGATTATAAAAGTAGCCTGTGCCCATTCAAAAAAAAAAAAAAAAAAAAAAAA